CTCTAGCCCCTTTACAGATATTAAAATTGCAATAAAATAAAATTCCATGTTAAAATTTCAATAACAGAATTATAAGAATTTCAATAATAAGAAAAAATATGTATGCAGATTGAGCTATGTGGTTTCATGCCTGCGCACACACAGTTCTACTTCGCGAGGGGCCACTGGGGCTTCAGGGGCACATTTGGCGATCGAGGCGGGGCTGGAGGCTGGCCCTCTTCTTTGCTCCCCCGCGCCTGCTTGGAATAGCCGAAGGACGGGCCAGAGGGGCTCTCTGGGAGTGTGCGCTGGGCCCCCGCGGTGGCAGCCCTTCTCAGCCAGTGACTCTGAGGGCCGCCGGCGAAGGTCCCCCTCCTGCCACTTGATTTCTGCCCCCCAACGCATCGCCTCGGTCTCTGGGCCTGTGGATGCCACCCTGCAGGGACGCCTTTTAGAGCCAGCCCAGCCCATCGACACCTGACTGAGATGTCCCCGCGTCCCCGCTGGCTCTGAGTTTTCGGTCTGCTCTGTCCTGGACCACCAAGGGCTCCTCCCGCTGGGGGTCCCAGCTGGGCCTGCACACAAACCAGGGGGAGTGGCCCCGGGCCTCCGCTGCCAGGCTGTTCCCAGCAGGCTGGTTCCCGCATGGGCGGGGGGCTTCTGCAGCTCCCTTGGCTGCACTAAGATTGGGGGCTGCTGCTCCTGGGTTTTATACGTAGCTCCTCTGCTCAGAGGGAACGAAACCCACAGGGGTTCAGCAGCCCCTTTTGTGGCATCATGGGCAGTGCCCCTGATCCAGGAGGAGGAGATGAACCAGGCTGAAGGAGCCACCTCTTGTCCCGTGCGCTCCATGGGCAGAGTGCCATTGGGGAGGTGCTCTGTCACCCTCCACTCTTTGCCCAGGGGTTTCTTGGGAGTGGGAGGCGGCCGGATCCGGCCCCCAGCTTCTGGTGAAGAATTGTTTTTCCAGAAGGGAAACTGAGATGAACAGGAGGCCCTGAAGATTATCTATGTATTTATTTCGCCCCTTTGCTGGCTGCCCAACTCCAAAAGTGACTCTGGGCCGCCTCACAAAACTAAAGACAGGAAAAGCCACCGGATAGAAACAGTCCTCGGCGGGGCTGTGCTGGGGAGTCTCCCCCGGCTCTGCTCAGGGCAAAGTCTTCCTGGGCCACCAGAAGTGGCACAGAGCTGCATGCCTATGGCTGCCGAGCCCGTTGTGGGCGCGGGAAGGGCAGCAAGGGAGCTTCTGGAAGCGTGGCAGAACGAGGGACACAGGCTTGGCACAGTCCAGTCAGCCTGCTGCCAGTTTGGGTTCTCCTGGCAAGAGCTCTGCTCCTTCCTCCCCTCCCTGCCTCTGGCCGGGCATCCTTTGGCCAGAGGCCTTCAGCCGCTGCCTCTCCCCATTACCCCCCCCCCCCCCGATTGACTGGTGCAGTTGGTGGAGGCTCTCCTGGAGCTCTCCCTTAGCCAGAGGAAGCGAGTGGCAGGATTCGGGGGGAGGGAAGCAGGGGTGGGGGAAGAGAAGAGAAGAGATTCCAAAATTTCGCTTGGTCCCAGGCAGGGGAGGCGTAGGATGAGACGGGTGGGGGGGCGGCCGAGCTCCAGTCCTGCAATCTGTTGCCTGGGAGAGAGTTGCACGCTGGATGTGCTCGAAATAACAACAGCCACTGCAGTCAGAACTTGACACCCAGGTTGGTCACCCAAATTTTCTGCCTCAGGAAGCTGAACTCCTGTGGCTTGTATGAATTATGCAGATTGTTCGCTTGGCTTTTCTGCATAATTCATGGAGGGAGGTGGGCCCGTCAGCCTGGAAACGCAGCGGAGCCTCTCCATGTTCCTGTGGCTCCATCCAGGCCCTGCTCTTTGCAGCCCGCAGACCGGGACTGGCGCCGGGCACTCTTTTTCCCTTTCGCGACCTGCGTAGGTCCTCCGCTGGCAGGCGGTTCCTTTGCCAGTTTTCTCAGAATTGCACCGTGTCCAGCTGGAGGGGGGTCCAGCCCCTGCAGCCGCAGGAGCGCCAGTGGTCCTCCTGTCCCCTGCCAGCCTCTTCCTGGCCATTGCAGGTCCTGGCCCCAGGTTCAGGTCTGCCCTTCCTCATCTGGAAAAGCTTCGATCCCTCTCCTCTCTCTGCTTCCTTGCAGTGCTTGCATAATTAACTTTGCACGGGCTCAGGTCACTTTTCCTTCTGTCTTCGGAGTGGGGTGTCTGTGGGGGGGAGGCTTAGCCCAGACCGAGGTTTGCTGGAATTTCACCCTCCCATCTGGGGCTCTGCTTCTCCTTTCCTTGCAAGCAAAGAGTCCAGCGCTTTGGGGATGAAGTACCTTTGTGCCCCCGGTCAAAGAGCTGTTCCACGCCAGCTCTGTGCTCTGGCATAGGACGAGGCCTTCTACGTATGGGGGTACCACAGCCACACGTGCCTGTGCAGAGGCGCAGAGTTGGGGATCGTTTGGCCCCGTGTTTGCTGCGTGGGAGAGCAGCCTCCCTCGTCAAGCATCTACCACCTGTGTCTTTTGCCATCCTTCCCTTCCCCTGGCCCTCCACTGCTTGCGCCCAGCATGGCAAGGCCTGGGGCCCTCCGGCCCTTGGCAGCTAGAACTGATGGTCTGCTCGTGACGTGACGTTTGACGGAGAGGAAGGGAGAGGTGTGCCTGGGGGAGTCCCTGGACCCGGGCTGCTGGGGGGCCTCTGTCGCTGGGGTGAAAGGTGGTGGCAGGGCTCCCGGGCCCCTCTTTGCCGTGGGTCTCTGATGGTTGTGGGTTTCCCCAAGAGGGCTCCTGCAGCCACACAGAGCCTCAGGCCTTTCGTTCTCTGCCTCTGTTTCTCACCTTACCACCAGGCGGCTGCAGGTAGTTCCTGTCTCACCTTTGGGAAATTGGGAGGAGACCCTGTCCTCACGCTCCCTGCCCGACTTCCAGCCGGGGGTGAAAGATGACGCCAGTCCTGATTCACCTCAGCTTGTTCATGGCAAGAAGAGCCGTGCGGTGCCAGCCCTTCCCTTGGTTGGGGGCTTGTGGGGCAAAGGGCCCGGGGAGGCCTTTTTGAGTCGAATTGGATTTGCACGAGAGAGCAGACCACTTTCCTCACTGGCTGAGAAGCTGCCCGTGCATCTTCCTGAATCCTCCTCTGGAGAGGCCGTGGTCACGGCCGCCGTGTTCTGCGCTCAGGTTGCGGCTCCTCTTGGCCCCGTCTTTTCCCTTCCGGGAAACGGGAGCCCTGCAGAAAGAAGGGCGTGTAGAACGTGGGAGCGAACAGAGGAAGGCTTTGCGGTCTGCTGGCAGGGCGTGAGCGGGGAGCGTTGGCCCCTCGTGCGCCAGAGAGGCCCCTGCTGCCTTCTGGGCATGGCTCCGCCCTGTGGACGCTCCAGCCGAGCAACAACCCCCCCCCCGACACGCGTGCACACACACACACACACATCAGCTGCTGTGGCAGGGAAGGAAACCCCGGCCTTCTCTTCCCCGTCACGGCCAGGGCTTTCGTCTCCCTTCTGGCCAGGTTGAAGGGTCGGGGCAGGCCTGAACTGGGGCGCTGGTGGCTCCCTGGTGGCTTTTCTACAAGGCGTTGGAAATCCAGCCACAGATTTTGCTGAGCACCCGATTCCCTGA